ATAGAATAGAATAGAATAGAATAGAATAGAATAGAATAGAATAGAATTCTTTATTGGCCAAGTGTAATTGGACATACAGGAATTTGTCATGGTATGAGATGTTTTTCTAGAAACCTCAAAGGCCCCTAACAGAAAGTTACTATTTAAGGGGCAAGGAAAAGTAGTTCCACCCTGAAAGCACTACTGTAATCTAACTATGATGGCATGACAAGAATACTGGTTTTACACCAAAGTAGTAAGTGGTATTTATTCATCCCTATTTCAGATAGGTCAAATCTGATAGGATTCTAATCCCACTTCAAACTGCTGTGTGGGATTAATAGAATCGTACATCAGTCTTGTAAATATTAATACCTCTTAAAACCATAATGTCTGTCTGCTACAATGTACATATATTGGGTATTGTTTAACAGTTTCAACCTCATGGTTAAAATTTGAATTGCAAATGCACACCTGGATTATTTTAAAAAGGGATTCTTGGATGTTTACTACACCTTGCTAGCACATAGGACATTTTCTCTCCATAAATCTCTTTGATTTAAAGGAACTGACATTTCCAAATTGGTCCAGAAAAGGAGACTAACCTTTTACAGTTGATGCTGTCACACAGAATTGAACAATAAAGTTGCAGAAACTGGAAGGCAGTTGTTGCTTTTCCATGTAGCTTCTCTAAAAGAATTCCTTCCATTCTCATTAGGTCACTAACAGTAAACCGATACTGACTTATTCTGATTAAGTCCGTAGCTAATGGAATATTACTCTCTTCTTCCACAATTTTCACAGCCAAGTAAAAGCAACTTAAGCCAACACAGCCCAAGTGTTTTGGCTGCACCTAGAAGAAAAAGAGACTTTCAGTTGAAGCCTATAATATACTTGGCTTACGTACATTGCAAACCTACAAAGTAAATATTATGTAAGTCAATTGAACTTTTGATCTAAAATGTTAAGAGTGGGCTTATAGCAACCTTTTCTTACATAAAATAAAAAGTCATGACTTCCGGTTTGTCGGCTTCGCGAGCGGCAGGGATTTGCGAAGCTGCGCGATCCCTGCCGCGCTAGCCGTTTTTGGGGCTCCGACCCAGC